TGAGGGGGTGTAATAGGGCAAATAACAAGTCATCCAATGTAGTTACTGTTAAATAGTATGATAAAGCTAAATGTAATTAGTTCTGTTAGTTACTATAATTAGTTAAGATAGTTGAGGGTATTCTTGTAACTAGCCTAAGGCAGCTAAGGCTATATATACTCACATCTGTGTAACTGATTTATTCATTCAATACAATCAGAAAACTTACAGAGAAAGTTTTCTGTTTCTATACAAAGTACTTTGCCTATTTGGTAAGGCTGCATCTCAAGGTGATGTCTTGGGGCCTCCTCATAACAAAGTACTGAATTTGGCCTAAGGCCTCATGCTATTTTAGAGGCAAAAAAGAAAAATAAAACTCTTTAACTCTATGTTTGGACGACGGACTCTGAAATTTATGAAATTTGAGCTAAGTTTTTTCAGTAATTCACTACAAAATTTAAATGAAGGGTCTCAAAAATCATTAGAAGCAATATTTTTTAGAGAACTTTTCAAAATCCGTTGTTCAATATCTTTATAATGCATTTGTAGTGTTTTAGTAGAACTTTTATTTGTTTTGTGCTTCCAGGAATTAGTTGGCAACGTCGTTGTAGACTTGTACTATATTTTTAGAGTTTGATTAAAGTTTTCTAATATTTCGAAGGTTCTTCGTTCAAGATTAAAATATGAAAGTTCAAGTTTCCTTGAAAATGATATTTACTGTGACGAGGCCTTCCAGAAGATGTATTTCCATACCATAAAAAAAATTTGTTCATTTTTTCTTTTCCTTCCTTGTCTGTAGGAACTTTATGCCACATTTTTCAACAGATTGTCGATCCACCATTTTTAAAAATTGTTGTCAAAAGACAAAGTTTTGGTAGTAAACTGTGGTGAAAGGTGGCCCTACTCTGATCCCTTGCCATTTACTTTCTCCTCTATGTTCCTCTTTATTGGCACTGTTGCTCGTAGTTGTCTTCTTTCACCGACTTCTTTTGATTTGTGGCTGCGATCTTTGTGGTGCTCTTTGGAGAATGTTGTAGTATTCTTTTCCTTCAATTTTGGAGCTTTGTTTGGACTGATCTCAGGCGTTTGTTAGGGGTGCTAGTTTGTGATGGTTAGTGTACGATGTTCCGGTGTCAGCGGTGGTAGCAGGCTGCTAGGGTTTTCTATTTTCAGTTTTTTTTTACTTCTGTTTTGGGCTTCAAAATCTGTTTTGGTTTGCTTTGAGTGTTCATTTCTCTACTTTGTGCTTACTTTGTAATTGGTTATCTTTCTGTATAATTTTGTTAGAAAAATGTTATTAGCACTCCAAAAATCTCATTCTACACATAAGTGTATTTTTCTTTCTAATTATAATAAGTTTGGAGTGCAAAATGATATTTTTAGAGTGCCAATAACAATTCCCTTTTACTATATTGGTAATGAATTTATCCTTGTCCAAAAAAGCAAGGTTCTAGATGTTTTAATTCTAAAAAGCAGAGATTTAGAAAAGTAAGCATTACTAATTAAAATTTAGAAGCAATGGTCTCTTCATTGACTTCACTGATTACAACCTTGTAATGCAAATGTTCACACTCTAAGAATCTTTAGGTGCAAATTTTTGTTAAATGTAATCAATTAGTTGGTGTTAGTATCACATCAGTTTTTCATTTTTCCCCGATTTTTGTAAGGGAGAAAAAATAAGGGTATGGTTTGATAAATATATACGTACTATACGGTAAACTTAGAGAGTAAATAGAATATATTCATAGATCGTTTACAGTACACAAGTCGTATATACGATTTGGATCATGGTACAGACATAACCACAAATATTCAGATGGACTGAGCCTTCTACGTACTAGTAACACATCCTAACCAGGCTTAGTTTCATGTTTGACTTCGTTGACGAACGATAGAAGAACTGACCTCATCTTAATTAGGTGGTAAATTCCGATCTTGGGTGTAGAAAAAAGAGTAGACTGTTCTGTTCAACTTGGTTAATCCTATTAATATTATCGTATTATAGAGGGAATGATTTGGCTGGAAATATTGGTGTATATTTTATGCATAGGCACGATCAAATAATTATAACTCAACCAGAAACACTTGCCAATAAAATCAAGGCTCATCCATGCTAGTTCATAATTGCAGCAAGAAATGTACTTTACTTGCATTCCAAGGCTAAATTGATTTATGCAGTAGATTAATACTATTCATTTATTTACCTAAACGTGTGCTTTTCAAGCACATTACTTGCAAAGGAAAATATATATAATTTGAGGGAAAATAATGAGCAAGAAATGCAATGACACACTCATACAAGATGTATTGTTCACACCTTGAGCACACCTAAACCATTCCTATTCATACCAAATGCTTTGCATCATATGCAATGATGATGTAATTATTTGCATGTCAGAAATTTAATTGGAAACAAATTTGGTAAGAGACCCAAAAATCATCCAAGCATGTTAGGCCACATCATTGCTAATAATATATTTGGTGGGCTTATTGATCAATTCAATAAGAGAAACTTTGAACAGAGTGTCACGTAGTCGAATGTATAGGGCAAGTTCTTAAGATATCGTTATATTGACACAAGTGAAACCATATGCAAGGGGGTTTGTCGAAGAGAGCGGTTCCAAGAAATCATTACACATGTTTTGTTTGCATCAGTGACTTTCTTTTTGTATGATCGTCCTTTTTCAGGCTCAGTGTAAGCTGATATATGTTTATTTGGTATACCAACAAAAGAAGTCTTTCTCATTTAGAAGGCGAGCACAAATTCCATTTATATTAAAATTTCATACTCTTGTTGTCTTTGCCTCTCTTATTATTTGAATGGGACGAGATATGTTAAGAGATAAAACGGTAAGAATTTAAAACTGTTGCAGGTAAGTTTCCCTCCTCAACTATGAGATTAGGTGTGGGCAAGAGCATAAGACAAAAGCTCAAAAGTAACGTCTTCATTCTAATTAGCCCATTAAATCATATCATCAACCCCTAAGGATATTATTATTATTAGTAGGTTAGGTAGGTTTAATTGGCAAAAGATAATAGTTTTATATAAAAAAAAGGGTTGTCTTATTCTCACAGGTTGGAGAAAAAGTTTGATATCTTTCCAAATCAAGGTTTTGATATCCACATCACAGCTTGCACAGTCCCTCAATTTCCTTCTATTATCCCAAAGAATTTTCAAATATATATTTGATCTAGAAGTAACAATTTGGTGGGTTGAAGACTCGTTTGAAAAATACTTTTAAATGGTTGAAAATGCTTTTAATGAAAATGTGTTAGGAATTAATTCTTAGTAAAAATACAAATAAATCCAAAAGTGCTTCTTAAAATCATTTTCTTAAAAATGTTCTCAATCATTTAAAAACACTTCTCAAATAAGTCTGTGGTCCTCATCAAAAGAACTTGCTGGTGGTTTAGATTAATCAAATTTGTTTGTCTTTCTCTTTTACAATTAATGATCACAGGGCATGAGTCACCCTCAGATATTCTTGCTCAGGCAAATACCGAAAGTTCAAATTGGTTAATCCCTTTCAAAGTGTGAATGGTATTTTGGTGTTTTTATTCACTTGTATGTTATTGAAAATTTTAAATTTGACATACACAGATCTGGTGATTATATATGTTCATGATTCTGATACTTAATTGTGGCTAACCTCATTATGTTGTGGCCAATAGTGGGCAACATATTTCGAAAAGTCCCCGAACTGTGTCAAATTTTTCCTACCAAGCAGCTGAGCAAGATAGGATGGCGCGGGTCCTTTTTAACACGAAACCAGCATCCATTTTTTGCTTTTCTCCTCCAACATTTTCCCCACCTTATTTAATTTTCTCTATCCCAACTTCCTTGCTCAATTCCTCTGGTGCCAAAATCATTAATACCTACCCACCAACGAGAAAACTTAAGCAAAAACACCACATGAAACTCTTAAACCTCGCCCTTCTCAACAAAAAAAAAAATTCATGAATCCATCACTGATTACCGTATCTCTTTTCTTGTATGTATGCTACCGCACATGGCTATGTAAAAACAGTTTGTAGATGTCCTAACATTGGAACGAAAGGAAAACATATACACGCATATATAAATTAAGTTTATTTTGTCAACAATAATTATAATCATAATATAAGTAAGATGATTCAACAACACGCCAAACTTTTTTTTTTGGTTTTGTTTTCTTAAGCTTCAAACCGCTTCTAAAGAGATCTCCATACACGTCTCAACACTTGAGCTTCACACATGTGAAGTAGCACCGGTCAGCTTCTACAAATAATATTCATACATTTTCTTTTTTCTTACGAATAAACAAAAATCCATAATTTCTCTTTTATTTTCAGCTTCGTCCCACTGCAGATTTATCACATATTCTAATATTTTTCTTATACCTGAGTGGACAAAATTAGCTTTCAATTTGAATTATCACTTATTGTCGATTTGCGATATTTTACGTTAACTAAAACATTATAATGCAAGCCATATTTTACGTTAACTAATCTGTAATGTGTGTAAAAATTGAACTCAAATACATTTGCTCTATCAAAGTAAAGTGACTAGATCTAAATTTGCATTAAACTAAGTACTTAAGTTAGATAGCACGAGGTTCAATATCTTAATGGATAGAGTCTTATGTTTTTCCTCATGCGTTTACGGTTCGAAACTTTTCCCTTTCCAAATTATTGTAAATATTTTTTTTTTCTCAAAAAGGGGACCAGCTAGTGGTTTTACTACGGTAGTCCATCATTTCGAGGCCCGGAATGACTCACAGATGCACTTCAGTCTCTCATTTGACACCATCGTGTGATTCACTAGCGCTAGGAATCAAATCCAGGAAGTGTCGTGTGGAATGCGGACCTAAATTTTGTCCTTAATCCTGGCCGCCCTATGGTGCTTAATTATTGTAAATAATTTACCCTAGCAAAAAGTAGGGATTACTGTTCAAGTTTTTCATTAATATTATTAGAATTGTTATTATTACACATAATAAAATAGAAAATTTGAAGCCAATTTTTCGCAACCACTCACACAATGTTATTTATGAAGTCCCAAATCCATTTCATTCCCAACCAACCCCTCCCTCTTTCCCTCCCTTTATCTTTCCTCTCTCCGAGCGCTCTACCAGATTGATAATAATGCAGGCTGCTGCCGCAGGTCCGTTGATCTCGCTCTCCCCCAGCTTCAACACCCACTCTTCCTCCGACAGACTAGCCCAGATCGCCGCCCGAGTCGTCGACGAGTTCTCCCACCAAGACCACCAACTCACCGACGAGTCCGACTGGGAAACTCTATACGATCACAAGGAAGAAGAGGAGGAGTTTGAGTTTTCTTTTGTCAGCAGCGGAGGACAGCCGCACACGTCGCCCGTCTCAGCCGACGAGATTTTCTCCAACGGTCAAATCAAACCCACCGCCTACCCTCTCTTCAACCAAGGCTTATTATTACCTCACAACGACGTCGTTGCGTCTAAAAATGCTAACGGGAATGTGGATGACGCCGTTAAGAAGCCGAAACAACGTCGTCCGCCGCTCAGAATGCTCATGAACGAAGACGAGCGCGAAACGCCGTCGTGCTCGTCATCCGAGGCCGACGACCTCGAGAACCTGCCAACTGACACTTACTGCGTGTGGGCCCCCCCGAAACCGTCGCCTGGGCAGCGCGGCTGCAATAAGAGCAGCTCCGCCGGTTCTTCCTCGAAGCGGTGGAAGTTTAGGAACCTTCTTTACCGGAGCAGCAGCGAAGGCAAGGACACTTTCGCCTTTTTGGCTCCCTCGTCGACCAAGACAGCCGAAAACAACAAGGGAGATAACGTCACGCGGAAAAGAGTCGACGGCGCCGGCGGCGTGTCGGAGAATGGAGAGCGTTATGTCGTAAGGAGCAAGACCGCGGAGGAAGGGGATAAACGACGGTCGTTTCTGCCGTACAGGCAGGAATTTGTGGGGTTTTTCTCGAATGTGAATGGGCTTAGCAGGAATTTGCATCCATTTTGAGTGGTCAAGTAATTGAAAATTATTTAATTTCCCCTTATTTTTGATATATATATATATATATATATATTTTTTTTTTTTTTTGTGTGAGTATTTTCTCATTTTCTTTTAGTTTTTTTTTTGAGAGAACTTACGATTAGTTAATAGTTGGGGTTAACTAATTTAATATGGGATTTCTTCACTTTGTGTAATTAATGAAAATATATAATATATCTTGAGTTAATATTATATTCTGGTGTTGATATTTCTATTTGTATTTTTGTTCATCCATGGAAATGAATATGTTTTTGATTTGTGACAACTTTTTGCTGTATGGATCTCACGCGGTATTGCCAAAAAGTCATTTAGGGATTTGTCCTTTCCTATAATCTTTCAATAAATTTAAGGTTTTTTTTGTTTTTTTTATTTTAATATCACTGTTGGTCTATGAAATTAGATCAAACTGATTTTACAGGTTTAATTTCAGAGACTAGATGGATATATTTTCTATTTTTAAAACTATTTTGATCGAACGGTCCAATTTCAAGATCAACTGTGATAAAAATCCTAAAATTGAAAGTTCTCATTTGTTTAGTTCGTAAATGATATTTAGTTGAATTTAGTTACGCAAAATATAATTTAAGACGGTTAATAGAACTTCATCAAGTTTAAATTTGTCTTGCAAGTAAAGGGGAAGATGGAAAGATGAAATTCGGCTATTGAAATTTCAAAAACTGGAAAGAGAAAAATGATTCAATTGCAAATTAGATCCACAAGCCTTGTGTTGATATACCAAATTACATAATCACACATGTCATGTGGCATCACACCTTGATATTTCACTTTCGATTAATGTTGGCTAGACCAATTTTTCAGATCACATTTGTAAACCATTTGATGTGTCATATATAGTAAATAAACACGTTAATCAACATTTAAAGAATAATTCAATCATCGACAATCATATCATATGGTTTAAATAAATTGTTTCTCTAACGTTACCCTTCACTCCCATACTTTTATTTTATTTTTTTATATTATCTCGTATTTACTTTATATTCTTGTTCAACATTACACATGCTATCAAGGAAGAAATACCTTGTAGTAGGTCTAGTTTTTTGAATGCACAACTACAATACGTATTTTGCGTTCAAAGTTAAGGATAGTCGCCTATTTGTGCATAAGTAATTATTAAACATCGACCAGAATAGATTATCACAGTAAATTTCATACAGATTAACGGCTGCTAGTCACCCGACCACGTACATTGTCCCTAACAAAACCCTTAACTTCTAGCATATGGTGTCTTCTCCATTAGTATATGTTCTCACAAGTCATAATGAACGAAGAACTTCTTTCTCATGAAGCTCTCATAGAATTGGATGTGGCTGCTGGCTGATACATACAGCCAATACGGTGACTCTTTAGTTAAAGTTTTTTTAAATGGGACCCAAAAAAGCAATTACAGAGAAATATCAGGTGGAAAAAGCAAATTAAAGGTGGGATGACTGTGAATTTCACAAGGCAGCAATATTTTTGTGTCCCATTGTGGTACCATTTGGTCCTGGGTCTTTCATCTTATGCACCATTTTGCTATTTTCTCAGAGCCAATTATCCAGCTGCAAAAAGCTCCTCTAAAACTAAAACACTGAGAAAGTGTAAAAGCAGATTCTTTTGTTTTCTCTTTTGTTTTCTGCCTTTGGTGTGAGAACTGAGAGGATGAATGGTTTGTAAAAGTTAATATGAGTATCGTTGACTTATCAATCAGATTACTTGATTTTCGAGTAACTTATTATTTAAGTGATTTCAAGTGATCTTGCAATCATAATATGGTTAGAATAATAATATTAACTCTGATTAACCAATTACGTAGTCCCTATGTAGTATGACTTATTCTGGTAGAACATAAAATATATAATTGTGATTATGAGTATCTCTCAATTAAAAATAAGCTTGATTGAGAGATATCCTAGTAACTATAGAAGAATCGTCCATGCTCTCACAATACACGTCTTATTCCAATACTAAACCTTATCCACTAGCAAGAGAATTTAAATTGTAAAGAGTATAAGACAATTATGAGTTCTTCACCGCCAACCTTTTATCTTATTCTACAGATAAGTTCATCTCTATTTTATTTTACTTCAACTCATTGTATTTGTGATCCTAATGTTTTGTTATTGTTGTAAAATTTGAAGAAAAATATCAATATACCAATGGCTAGTTAGAGTTTTATTGCTCCCTCTGCCAAATATAAACAAATTTAAAAGATAATTGGTCACATCTCAGATGAAATTTATGTAGCTTCTTCTTGTACATATCCCCATAACGAAGAGATAATAGATCAAATAATGAAAGGAAGGGAGGGAGAAGCTAGCAGAGAAGGGAAGGTGGCCATCTGCTTTTGGAGAAATTTTTAGTTGCGACGGGAATACAGATGGTACATCACATGTTTTTATGCAAATGATGGAAAATTTTAATTTTTAAGTTATTAACCTTTTAACACACATAATCCACCATTTATATAAGAACACATGATGTACCACCTCATGTAACGGTCACACTGAAAAATCTCTCCTGATCTTGCCTGTGCCACTGCGAGCTGTGGGGTACTAGCCAATGGCTGCTACTTTCACATCCTCTCCTTTTACTTCTTTTAGGGCATACAATGCCAAAGGCTGTAGAAATCTCAGTGGGCACCCCGTATTTTTTGGGTCATGCCCAATCAATTCCACATTGAGACCTATTCTCCCCTCCATCCTCCCCAGCCTCCCCTCCATCAGATTGAGACTCATTCTGGATTTCTGTGTCTGGATTTCTGTGTCTGGATTTCTATGTCTGCAGATCGAGAAATCTGAACCACTTAAATTCAATTATACGATCCTCATTAGCCTATTCTACTGACTCACTTCACAAAAATTCAAAAACTAGAATAGCCCAAATCTTTCTTTCTCTTTCTTGAACTCTCCAGATCTCTTGGTCCTCAAGCTTCAGACACAGAAATCCAGAGTGGGTTTCAATCTGATGGAGGGGAGGCTGGGAAGGATGGAGAGGAGATGAGGTCTCTATGTGGAATTGATTGGGCATGACCCAAAAAATATGGGGTGCCCACTGAGATTTCTACAGCCTATCCGGAGGGAATCTTATACCCCCTCCATCCTCCTCTTTGATTTTTGCATTGTGCCAGATCACTAAAAAATTTATTTAAAAATAACTATGAAAAAGGTTATTCTTTACAATTGCAATTTATAAAGTTTATTTAAAACTAACTAAGAAAACATAGTGCAATGAGTCATTTAATACAATCCTATGTATCCAGATTCTTAGTTCGCTTCATTGTAACGTTTGACAATATGAAAGATAATAGTCAACACACCACTAAAATAATACATTATAGGCAGTGGATGTGACATTTGACAGTTTAAAGGATAATGTAATCATCACAATACGACTAGAATTATACATTATAGTCTTGGCTATGAAAACGAAGGCATAAGGGAACAATTTTGTGCATGGTACCAAAATTAATACTATTTAGTAAGGAATTATACAGTCTGATGTATTAAACGAAACTCTAAAACAACATCTTTATTAGAAAAATAGGGTTCGTCCGAAGTTGTATATACATTTAATGTGTGCAGTAATGTTATGTGGTACCTGTCTATTTGGTTGGGGATGTGTAATTTTATAGAGTGGGTAAGATTCCTTAAAGAATGAACAGGAGCTGGCCATGTTCATTGTTCAACAAGAATCCGCTTAAATTAGCATTTTCCTTTTCATCCTCTTAAAATGGCAGACCACCTTCACTTTCATGCCCACATTATTATCCACATTTTAGCATCCATCTTCATCAGCACGTGTTGAGATTATGAATCTCACATAAAGAAAAATAATGGACTTTGCATGTGCTTATAAGTAATTAGGCTACTACTTATATTGCCAATGATTTTATAGTGAACCTTAACTTTCTTCATGATATCAAAGCAGGTTGTCTTACATGTGAAGTCCAACGACCACACATGCTCCACATTACCCCGTTTGTACTATCCACGTATTTGACTTGCAAATTTGTCACACCTGAGGATGAATATTGAGAATAAATCTCATATTGATGGAAAAAAAACATATTACACGAGCTTATAAGTAGATTGCATTACTTTTCATATTGTCAATTGATTTTATATCGTACATGATACATACACTTATATGAACAATGACATGCAACTGTCTATAAAAAAATGTTAAAATTGGTGTGGTTTTAGTGATACCTATCATTCAATATGATATAGCTGTAAGATTTGTTTTCCACAACTATTTAAATTTTCTATGTTTAATCTTAGTTATTTATTCTCATATCATTCAATATTACACAGTACTGAAGAAATTTCTGAGACGAAAAATTGTAACCTTGAAGGAAATTGCCATTAATTATTGTTTGATAACACTGTTTCCCCAGTAATATCATGTACAAGTGGAGGAACCATCAATCATGGCGATGTGTCAATTAGCATGACAATTGGTAATGGCAGCTATCTTATTCACTCTCATAAAAATCATTAGTATTTGATTTTATTTCACCTTCGGACGCAGAATATTTTAATGTTGGACATTTTATCTCTTAGACAAATTTATATCAACTACAATGTTTATAGTTGATTAGCACTTGTCTTCCATCATACAACAATCACTTCCTTACGATAACAACATTTCAAATTGTAAGGCTCCAATGAACCACGATTTTGTTGAACTCCTCAATGACTCTCTTAATCTCTAAACACTTTTGGAGACAACCCCGCTTTCTTCATCTCATTATAAAGACTACGGAGATTAGTAATGGGAATCGTTGGAATTTTGATGGAGAATTTTGGACAAAGCGCCTGTGTTCTGTGGCATTTTGTTTGTTCTGATTTGATTGCGCAGTTTTCACAGTTTTCCAATCTTTGGATGCATGTGTGGAGGAGGAGGAGGAGGAGGAGGAGGAGGAGGAGGAGGGGATTATTGGATATTTCAACTTCAGTTGAAAACGATGAATGGAGAGTGGAGAGGGCAAGGTTGTCAACT